ACCCCGACCTCCTGCAACCCTGAAGCATTTGCAATGGCTGACCTGATTCTCTATCACACACCAAAACAAGGATGTTCTTTGACATAACCATAGTACCTCGCCCAAAGCAGGGTCACTGCCATCTAGTCTTAGACCACATTCAAGACTTTCTGGTTGTCCCAATAATGTCCTTTGTAGTAACAAGATCCAGCCCAGGGCCACATGTCACACTGAGTCATCATCTTTTTAGTCTCCAAAGGTCCAGGACATTCCTTGGCCTTTCCCTGACTGCTGAGACCCCGACACCTTTAAAGGTTCTGGGCCCGTCCTTCTGTATAGTCCCTCCACGTGGGTGTCTGAGTTTCTGTCCTGATCAGAGGCAGGTTATGCTTCTTTGGCAGGAGAATCACAGAAGTGATGTATGGTCTGCCCATCCTGCCCTGTCAGTGCTGCAGGACTGTGATTGATCTGAGTGATGGTGTCCACTTAGATTCCTTGGTTACAGTGGTGTTCACCAGCATCTCCCCTGGGAACCTGCTCTTCTTCCCCTTGTGATTAATGGGAACCTTGTGTGAGGAACTTGAAAACTAGGCAAGTAGCCTATTTCTCATCAAACTTTCAACTTACAAATACATTTATTTTAATAAGTATCTAAATATGCATGGACTTGTGGTTTCCTATTTTATTCCATGATTACAGCTCATGCCTGTAATTATGACCTCTGATTTGCCAGTGGGGGGCCCCTTTGAGCTGGCACACATCCTTCTGATATGTCTCTGTTATGCTTTGAGCCCTTCACAACTTCCGGACACAGGAAGGTGTTCCAGGATTGTCCTGCACTCTCCCTGCCTGAGCCCCGAGACCAACCGTCTTGCCAAAGAACTCTGGTTCCTGCTAGTGGGGGATGGAATTTAGAAACCAGGATGCAGGTTCTCTGTGTGCTCACTGCTGCTGGGGTGTCACTCCTCTCAGACTCTCTCACCAGACAGAGCAAGGAATTATACGGATGTTTGTACAAACATATTTACATCTATAGTTTTTCTCTTTGTTTATAAATATTAAAACTTGTGGGTTCACACTGGTATTGCTAATTCCAATTCAATATGCACAATTTGTTCATCCCTCTCCATATCTTTAATTCCCATCTCTAACGGTGAGAAACCTGACTCCCGTGACCCCTCAAACCTCCACAAGGACCTGAATGATCTTGCTTCTTTACTAGCAGATGCGTCAATCCTTTACTGGTCTTTGCACAGGAGATGGAAGTCATGTGGGTAGAACTTGCTCTCCCCCCTTGTTGGTGCCAGTGCTTGGCTCTGTGCCTGCAGGGGTACGAGCTTCACAAATGTGAACATGCATGAGCTGCTGCCCACAACCATCAGCCGGGGGGGGGGTGGCACACAGGTGTAGTGGGCCCCTGCCCCTGCCCTCTGATGTGGCTGTGCCTGTGGCCTGGACCTTCTACCTGCCAGCCTGGTGCCTGGCCAGTGGCAGGGGGACAAGCAGAGGAGTGAGCCACCCCACCGTCTAGCTGCAGGGGTGCATTGGAGGTTGGAGGGAGGAAGGACAGCAGGGTTGAGAACCCCCACTGGGCCAGGGAGAAGACAGGGGGCCTGGCTGGCTGTCTAGGCATGGCTAGCCTGGCCCTTGGTGGGTGAGGGGGGCTTGACTGCTCCAGAGACTCCAACATCTTTTGGGGTGGAGGCCTCAAAGTCCACTGAGAAGGAGAAGTTTTATAGGCAATCCAGTCCCTTCCTGCTTCTCAGGGCCCTTCGCTGCTCACCAGTCCCCTACGACATGCGCCCTGCAGCTCTGGAAAAATGTTGCCCCCTCCCCCTCCCTGGGACCCCTCTCCAGAGCCCTACAGGGCCAGAGGATGTAGAGGGAAGTGGCCCATTGGATCCAGGCACCACCCATCAAGGGGACCACCGGCTCCGGGCCCCCGTGGGAGTGCCTGCTTAGCCAACAGAGCAGGAGAAATTCTGTGCTTGGCTGGAAACCCTTCCCAGCCAGCCCTCTGGTGCTCCAACCACCTCCTTTGGATTACAGGTTGCCTGCGCTGTATGGAATTCAAGTCCACATAGAAGGAACTAACCGTCTCAGGGCACATTATAAATAAACTTTTTTGGTCCAAATGTGGGCCAAGAGAATGATACCCCAAAACAAATAAGGAGTCCCTTTTCTTTGGTTTTTAAATACCCCTTCTGAGTTTTATGTTTGCACACAGAAAGAAGCCTCCTGTCGGGGCTCAGAGAGAAGAGTGGGAGGGACAGCCCTAGGACACAGGTGAGCGGAGAGGAAGGTTCGTGCCCATGGAGGGGAGCGGTCGGGTTTTCAGACACGGAGCACTGCACCCTGAATCTCAAGCCCATCCTGGGTGTCTCCCTGTGCCTGCAGCCATGCAGGGGGTGGGGTTGCTGCCCATCCTCGCTGCCTCTCCTCAGGGGCAACATGGGCCTGTAGAGATGCCTGGTCAGCCCCCCAGGGCAGGCGCCACCCCCTAGGAGCTCTGGACTGGGGCCAGGTTCAGCCTCCACGGGGGAGGCAGGAGCAGGGGGTGAGAAGCTGAAGTCAACTGAAGGTCACCCAGGCTGAAGTGGGCATGGTCCTCTCACCTCTTCCCTGCGCTGTGGGTGTTCCTCACGTCACCCAGTGCCCAGGCTGGCTTGGGTGCCCTTGTCCTGTGGAGGAAAAGGTGCCACTGCCTAGCTTGGCTGGACTGTCCTTCTGCATTCGGGTTGAGCACAGACAGAACCCTCCCTTTGATTTTGAGTCCCCACCCCCTAGGCCTCAGCTAAGACGCTGCCTCATCTGGGGGCTACCTAGCCAGTCCGACTTTGAGCCCCTGGTCTTCTCCCACCCTGCACTTTCTGGCTTCTCTCTCCCCCAGGACGCAGCCAGTTCCTGGAAGGACACACAGTGCGGTGTCTCCCCAGCTCTGCCCCAGACGCCCTCCCGACGTGTAAGTGGCTCTCCCGCCAGGGTGGGGGCTGCAGCATAAGGGTCAGGCCACCTGCCCAGGCAGGAAGGGGCCAGGTTCCCGAGGACCCCCCAGGCTTGGCCCTGGCCGTGACCTGGCCCATGGGCACAGCGCACAGTCCCCGGACGGGGCTGTCTCTCTCAGGCACAAAGGCCCTGCCCCGTGGAGCTGGCAGTCCCGCACTGGGGCTGGTGGCCCTGCTGGCCGTGCGCGGCGACCGGGGCGCGGGGTCACGGGGTGGTCGGGGCAGCTCGGTCAATCGGGGGCGGGGGGCCGATGCGCCGCCCCTGCACGGGTAGGGGCCCTGGGACACGATGCATTGTGTGTGTGCCTGTGCGGGGTCCCCTCGGGGGGGGGGGCAATCCTAACGTAGTGAGTGACCCACTTGGCGTCCCCGTCATTCTATGGAACCCGGGTCGTGCTATGTGGCGTCCCTGTCGTGTGTGGGGTTCCCCATGGTCGCGTGGCGTGGCGTCCGCGTCCTGCCGGGTCCGCGAGGTGCGCGGTGCCGGCTGCGTAAGCCCCCGTCCTGCCCGCCCCTCCGCGAGTCTGCGGTTGTGGCGGGGGCCGCGTGTGGGTTTCTGGGCCCCGGCGGCGGCGGTGGCGGTG